AATCCAGGGCTAGGACCATGCGAGACGTAGTGGTCAATGTTGTAGCCACATGGGAAGGGGACAGGCCAGGCGTGTGCTGAGTGCTGATGTTGTCTTTTTTCAAGTTCCAAGACTTTGTTTTGCCCAGGGAAGATGTGCTCCTCTACCAGCTCCTCAGATCGGGGCATGTGCAACCGCACCGAATCAGGAAGAGTAGCTCCTTGGATCTAAGCGTTCAATCATTGCCTTCTTTGCGCTTCTTGGGGACACCCTGACTAAAGCAATTTGCAATTATTGAAAGTTTTATAAGGTTTAAATGATGGCCGGAGCCTCTTCGAGTTGACTTTCTCAGCACCTTTGGCACTGATGGTGCGCCAGCGTGGCCTGCAAGGATCTCATTCAATTCAAACAAACGTCAACACTTTTGCAGAAACATGCAACAAATCTTTGGTAGTGGACGATGGTTTGTATCCCATGCGTTTCTCAGGTTCCCTTGCAGGATCACTGCGCCAGAGGTCCCTCAGCAGGCGAAGCAGCTGCCAGCTGAGGAGTTCCTGTTCTCTGATCGCCTGTGGGTGGGGAACTGCCCATCTGACATGTTTCTTGATGGCGCTTCTGGCTTTCTGGTTGATTGCGAGTCTGCACCTTTGAGCTGGGTTGTTTGTGGTGTGGGTTGTCTGTCAGTCTGTCATACTGAATCTTTGATCCTGAGGACTTGCGCTGGGGTGGCGACCCTTATGAGGATGGCTGTGACCATCGACCCCCTCCAGGTCCGCAAAGCTGGTGGAAACAAGGCTGGGCGTGAGCTAAGAAGTTTCTTGAGGGCCACATTGTCACATATCAACATTGTAGCATTTATTATTGGCGGTTCTGTCAGGAAGTCCAATGCTTCTTCGTCGACTATGAAACGGTTGAGATGTGCATGCTGGTCCACAGCTGCTTCCGGCAGAACCCGTTTCTTGGATAGCACTCAGTTGTGTGTGACTCAAGCAAAGCAAGCTTGCTCCATGCCACTGGTATTGCATTGAAGCTTGACTCTGGGCGCCTAGGACCACGATCCGAGTGCGGCTCGCAAAGTCGTGGAACGGCGCCTCCCGGTGCCTGGCAGCCCCAGGCCCTGAGAGCGGTCCAGCACGCCCCACAGCACCAGCGCCCCCAGCACCAGCACCGCCACCACCACCACCTGGACCGCCGCCACCTGGACCGCCGCCACCTGGTCCGCCGCCAGCTGGTCCACCACCAGCTGGTCCACCACCAGCGCGCCCGCTGGCAGCAGGCAATCGGCCTCCTGTGAAAGCCCCACCCCAGCCGCCTGCTCCACAAAAGGCTGAAGTGAAGGGCGCCAGGGCCAAGCAGAAGAGGAGGAAGAAGGAGACCTTTTCAGTTTGCGTTGCAGTGTTGCGCAATCTTTCCACTGACCATTGATGTCCAATGTTTGGATGCAGGCGTCCCCGGAGTTCGTGAAGGATTCACCAGGTCGTCAGGCAGCTCACGGAGCAGCTTCTGAGAAGAAGGGGGCGCGTGATGGCGGAGCAGCTTCTGAGAAGACGGGGGCGCGTGATGGCGATGACCGCCGCGACAAGGCTGATCACCGGAAGGGGGACAAGGCTGATCACTGTTTGTCCTGCATTGAATGCACTGGCTTCTGTCGTTTTTTCACAATGAGTTTGTAACGTTCTGATTAGCTGTTAGACTGGCTCACTGACTGATTGGGAGGTGAATGTGAGGCGCAAGAGGGCCCGGTCCACATCTGAATCGTCCTATACAAGCTCAATGGACAAGAGGCCATTGACAAAGCCCAAGTTTAAGCCCATGCCTAGGCCACCAAAGCGCCCTGGCCGCTAGGCCGCTATAGGCTTCGCCTTGCCTGTACAGAACTTCTGAGACTGCGATGTGAAAAAGGAGCTGTCCGACTTTTGCTTATGGACTGCACTGTTTGATGTTTGTTGTGGCTTGCACATCGGCTTGTTGGCGCCGCTTGATGTCTGGTATGGGTTGCTGCACACTTTGATGCCGCTGTTTGATGGAGGTGCCTCCTGTCAATGCAGCTTGAAACTCAGCTGGGCCAGTTGTTTTGACAATGACTTGACAATGTGATCTGGCGCACCTTCTTTTGCACCCTGCACTCTGAAGTTTGCGCATGAATCCTGAGCACGCTGTTTTGCTGGGCTTTCAATCCTGTGAGTGTCCTGGTGCGAGGAAATCAGATGACAGCTGCTTAGCTGAGATGATGCGGCAGGGGGACACAGCTTGACACTCTCATTATTGTGCAGCATCATTTTTGAAATTTGCCTAACTACACTGAAACCATACAAAGAAACAATGTGCACACGCCCTGTGGGCTTTGTTTTGAGCTTGTTTCAGCCATGGTTTGAGCAAGGTTTGATCAATATTTGGTCACTATTTCATTAAACCAGTGATGTATTCACATGTGATGCGAAGAATACAAGAGGATCAGTAGACTCAGTAGACCGTCCATTTGATCGTAGAATTGAGCAATGCAAACTTAACTTGGTAAGTGATGCCACCCAATGCAACACCCAGTAAGACACATTGTTTGCAAGTGAGTGTGAGTGGCCCTACTGACAGATTGCAGCGGTTGTTTCATTATTCGTTGAAGGTGCCCTGCCAACGCCCATGTACAGCAGAAGCCCCAGTAGTTAGGCCAGTGGTTCTGACCATGTGATCTGGCGTGTCTTGTGCTGCCCTGCTCTGTGGTCTGCGCGTCTGTAGTGTCTGTTAGTCTGTTACTTCTGGATCCTGAATCACTGAATGCACTGTTTTGCTGGGCTTTCAATCGCATGTCTTTGTGTGAGGGAAATTCGCTGACAGCTGCTTTTCTGAGATGATGATGCAGCGGGGGGGGCCCAGCTTGACACTGGAATCCACTTTATTGCGCAGCATCAGTTGTGATTGCTATATACGTTTGAAACCATACAAAGAGACAATGCGCACACACACAACTCAACATGAAGATGGAGCTTGGTCTGAGCTTGTTTCAGCCGTGGATAGGGCATGCTTTGAGCTGTGTTTGACCACTATCGCACCAAGCCTACCTATTTTGTAGCCTGTTTGTACACAGTTATCGTAACACGCGGTGACAAGATCGCAACAGAATCAACAAAGCGCACGCCGCACGCCATCTTAAGGGTAAAAAACGCTGACATTCATCAACTGATGTGTGATTTTGGTGTGTGTAATTGCGTGGGTCTGCTAAGTCTGGTGCGCAGGTTGGATCTCGCCACTGCCTCTAGTGAGTTTCGCGCGGCTTTGAGCAATCAAGGACTTGCGCACGTAAAAACAGGGAAGATGGCTGCGCCAGGGTAAGCAAAATGTCTGTGAGATGTTGTTGGACTCTGTTTGCTTTGTGCTTCGCATTGTTACAGTTGTAACATGTCTTCTTGGCTGGGTCCTATGCCTGCTGAGCGGTTCAAGCTGCGTGGACTGATTTGTTTGTTTGTGGCTGTTTGTGCCTTGCAAACAATGGCAGGCTCTCATGGACCGCCGATCTCTTATGCGCCAGAGTCACCGCCCCTTCGAGCAGAGCCCTCGGATGGACCCGCGCCCTCTCATGGACCACAGCCCTCTCAAGGGCCGCAGCCCTTTCCAGGACCGCTGCCCTCTCATGGACCGCAGCCCCGTCAAGCACAGGTGGTCCTTCGGGCAGCGCCTGGAACCATGCTCTTTTGTTTGCAGCAATCTGAAGCAATTCTGTGGCTCGCTATTTGGGAATTTGGGAAAATCATCAGGCCCAATACATGTTCCAGGATTCTGGGACTGCTTTATTGTTTGTGCGGATTGTGCGCTTTTAATGTGTTGCAAGTAGGCCCCGCCTCAAGTTTTATAACCGTGTCATCTTGCCAAGGATCTCATTGAAGATGAGCTCATTCTCGCACGAGTTCTTGATGAACTGCGATCTGCTAGGCAGAATCTTGTTTTAACGTATAGTTCAATTTTATTTGTGGTCAAATTATTTGAAGTATTTGGTGTTTAGGGGTTTTAAGGGACCGTCAACCCATTGGTTGTCTCTTAGGAGCCTACGAGAGACCTATGGGTATTTGATCCATTTCATGGAGCTCCTGGGC